CCTTTCCAACCTTAGTGATTCTGTGAATAGAAGTGTTTTTCAGGGGTAGTTACGTAACTCTTGAGTGAAAACGTTGCATGTGTTAAATGTTGTGTTAAGGATGTAAATTACAGAAAGAAAAAAATCCCTGTTTTTAATAGCAAACTTTTCTTAAAATAATAACTATCCCAAGGAGCATGTCCAGTAACAGAGCTTCACAAAGAATTTCAGGAATCTTGAAGCGCTTGATAGGATAGATTCTTGGAAGCTACCCTGTGGGATGAGTCAGTTCTATCTGTAACTGCCTAAATTACTATGTAAGAAGTAATATGCATTGCCTGTGAGCTCTTCACCAAAACTCAATATTGAAAAAATAACTATATTTAGTTATTATATATAATATTATATATTTGCGCCAGCATAATGGAAAAATCATGAGGTTCTGTCCCATTTGTCACCCGTGCAGGAGCTGCAGAGGACTGAGGGTGCGAGCGTTTATGCATGGGTGTAACTAGCATTGGTTGCTGGCAATGGTTACGCTATTCCTGCAAGTGGATGGGCAATGCATTTAGACCTTTGTCCTTGGAATATTACAAGACTTCCATCTATTGCGCGGCAGCTGGTTTTGTGCCAGACTGAGCCTGTGGTAGCTCACTTTCCAGACTGTAACTACTAATCATACGGACTACAGGTGTGGTGCAGTTTTCAGGCTTCATCCGTGGAGCAGTTAGTGCATAGCAGTAAAGCTGTGTGTTTGTATTTGAATTCAGAACATAACTTTGACCCTTGTAGTTCAAGGCATGTTAGGCATCTGAAGTGTTCTGTGTTGATTTTAAGCATGTGTGGTAGGAACATAGCTTTTAATAACTTAAGATACTACAGACAAGATGGGGGCAGAGGAGAAGAAACTGTTGTGGAACAAGCCTGTTCGGTTGGCTTGAAACAAGTTGGAAAAGGCTGAGGTATCCAATGTATTTCTTGTAACACTTTTTGTTTTTCAGTCCCTCATCTTGGTTTATTCAATGTAATGTGAAAGAATTTTTTTATACATCTACTGTTGACATTACAGGAGACAAGGAATAAATGTGTGCGGAAAACACTGCGTGCACAGTCAGAGAACACTAGGAAGAAAGTTGATGGTCGACATAAAGATGAAATGGGATCATAAAGGTGCTTGGTTTTGCTAACATTTTGCGCTTACTGAAAATACGAAATACTCAAGGAAGCAGCAAACGTGAACAGCACAAACAGCCCCATGTTCCTTTTCAAAACGTCAGGCTTTTTTCCAGAAGCGCCTTTTGATTTAGGAAAAAAGTGAATGAGGAAAAAAAAAAAATCCCTTTGGCTCAAATGATAACTATGTTGTGTTAGTTTCCAGGTGTTCTAATTTGTCAGCTTGGCTGTTTGCTTTCCTCCCCTGGTACTGGGGCAGCATTTGTAAGCCAAATGCCTTTATGGTTAGTGAGGGGGTTGGCCTTGGGGGAGAAGACAGCAGCTGTGAGGATGTCTTCTTTTTTTTTTTTTTTTTTTATTTTATTTATTTATTTATTTATTTAAGCTAAGAGTAAGTTGAGTTGCCCAGAAAGAAACTGGTATGAAGAGCAGCTATGCTTCTAATATTCCGTAAGGGCAAAACTGGTTGTCTAATAGCCAAACAAATGTAAAAGACTTTGACTAGAGTAGTCAAGTGGTGCTTGTAGTGATGTATTCTGACAAAGAAGCTTGACCTCGTTTCGTAATGTGATTAAGACTGGTAGCTGGTCCTGTTCCAAGGCATGTATATATTACAATATACTAATAGCCTACTAGCTTTGAAGACTTCGTTATCCCACGCATGCAGTCATGTTTTAATGTTGAAGTACAGACTTTCAGTTCAATTTCGCCACTGGTCTTTTAGAGTAGATGGAGAGACAGAGGGGGAAGATAAACCTTTGACTGTCAGTGCGTTTATATTTGGTGATCAAGCTAGGTGGTTACTCTTTTTGCTGCTCAAGACTGTTGTGAAAACCTTCTGAAACCTTATTGAAAACTTGTAACATTTTTGTTTGGACACTGTAAAGATTCTGTTCATTGCCTTTGGCATGTCCGTTAAAGTTGAACTCTGCACAGGTGATGCTGAAATACTCAAAGTCATTACCCACAAAAATTAATATATTGTTTCAGTGAGATGTGCTGTAGGGATATGAACTATGTGTCCAAGAATTATTGCGGAAGCACACTTGGAATATATTTAATATGACAACTGTAAGTCAACATGCATTTTCTCTTCTACTAGCATGCGTAAAACCACTTATATATGGGCTGTACAATAAAGTTTTTCTTCCTTGTCGAAAAGACGGGTGTTGGCTTTTAAATATGTCTTTTTTTTTTTTTTCCTCTCCCTCCTCATTGCAACACTATTGGTATAAGAAAAAGAGACTGTGCCTGAATTGAGACCTTCCTAACTACCTTGATTTTTTTGAAAAAATGGTAACAACTTTAATAGTATCTCCTGTAATACGGTAGATGCTCCTGAGCCCCCATGTTGGGACTACGGCAGTAATTCTTAGCAGCTATTTAGAATATGTGTAGTACTGTAGCAGGGCTAACTTTTTTCACGTGTGGATTATTTGATGGTCATGGGTTTGCATCATCAGTTAGGCGTATTTGGTTAGCTTCCAGCCCATTTTACTGTCTTTCCCATCTAGTCCAAAAGAACCTGATAGAGTCAAGCATCACGATCCCTTATGATTCCATTACTGTTTTACGCTGCTTTAACTTCTTCTTTGAACTTACAGAAAGAAGGCAAACATGCTAGTTTTTCAAAATTACTTTGTATATGTAAAGAGGGGAGCGGGAGTTCCAACAAACAACTGCTTATCCTTCGATATGAAACGAATTGGAAGCAGGGTTTTTAGGTTTTATCTCTCATCTATAGTCAGAGTAAGGAATGAGATGAGTTTCAATTAGGTGCTCCCCTGAATGATACTTCGTTACGATCTTTGGTTAGTTCTCCTCTGTCCAGAATTCCCTTTGGCCACAATTTTTGACCTTGTGTCAGAATAATTTGGCTTAGCTTCTGTATGTTTCTTGTAATCCATGCTTAGTGTGTTTTGTCTCGTAAGATGAGAACAGTTTTCAAGAGTCATTTGGATGGGCAGATGAAAGGAGTTTGTAATGTTGATTTACTCTTAAATGTAAGGTTAATCATAGTTTTTATGTTACAACTTGGGGCTTCTTGGTTTCTCTCGGTGATGTTTTATTAGCTTCTTTGGGATTCGGTATAGGAAGCCCAGAAATTAAATTGGTAATGGATGAAGAACATAGCTGCCTTGCAGAGGCAGGAGTAGGCAAATTGGTGTGTTAGGGTACAATTTTGTGGCATCTGTTGAAAAACTTACCATGTAAATATAGGAACTCTTTACAAAACTTACTACTAAAATATATGAGCTAATCAATAAACCTCTGGTAGTTACAGACACGGCTAATGATTAAACCCCTTGAAAAATGAACAGGACTTGAGAAGTTGGGAATAAAGGGATGTAATTTTGATGTTCCATAAGGTTACTTGGTGGTGTGTATTAGAAGAATGCTGACAATATGTGGAAACTGCATTTCCTTCATTTTGCAGTTAAAGGTGCTTTTCTCAACTTGACAGGAGAAGTGTATGGTACTTCGCTTTCTCCTTTGCTGATCACACCTGATAAAGACCTGTAGGAATAACGGAGGGAAGGCAGGGAGAAAACAACTGAGTCGTTGTAAGGAAAAAACCAAGAAGTAGGAAAACGGGGGATTTTCTCCAAAGGCTGTTTTAGGTTGAAGCTTGCTCTGTACTTTTAAACGTTATGCGTGTGAAATGATTTTCAGGGAAGTGTGGCAGTCAGTGCTATCTTGTGTCATGTCAATGCACTGTGGTCAACTGTAAAATGGTATTACCTTTTGCTTATCCTAACAAACCACCTTGACCAAAGTTTCTGCAAAATGGCTGTTAAGAAGCTTCCACTGCTCTGGGTTCAACAAATTCTGCCATGTGAGCATTCTGACAGTAGTGCTATTGCTTTTTGTTAAGTTTATCGGGGCCGGGGGTGTGGGGGGTGAAGGTTGGACAGACTTCTATGTAAGAATCTTTAAACTGTTTTAAGAAAAATTGCATAGCTACACGTTGATTGGGCTTGTTTTGCAGTCCTGCTTCTAAAGGTATGGAACTCTGCGTCCAAATAATGGATGAATTGTTGTAGGAAAGATCTTTGATTGGGGGGCGGGGGGTGGGAACCAAAACCAAAAACTAAAAAACAAAACATTTTTTTTTTTTGTGGTAGGCTTCTAGAAAACATGCCGATCTGACACATGCCTATTTTGTTGATTGAATACAGTTAAACTTCTTCATATTTGTTAAATTCAAAGACTTAAAGGTTTCAAAGAGTGGTTTAAGAGTGTGGAAAATCAAGTTTTTAGGGACTTCTGTCTGTTGGTGGGAGTTCTGTCCCGCTGTCCATTCATTGTTGCGTTAAATTTCTGAGGTGAAGTGTTTTGCTTTCGCTAAGTGTAATTATTGTGTTCAACAGCAGTGAGCGGAAGAGCATCTGCAATGTCAAACACTCCTACCCACAGCATTGCAACCTCTGTCTCCCAACCTCAGACGCCAACTCCGAGTCCTATCATTTCTCCTTCAGCCATGCTACCAATCTACCCTGCTATAGATATCGATGCACAGGTAAGCGTGCGATTGTCACTGCAGCACAGATGCGTGAAGCTATTTTGGTTCTGCATCCTGAATAATTCAACGATAATAAACATCTCTGTTGTATAATGAATTGGGTTGTAGAGACTTGATTTGCCGCTTTTAGAAAGCGCATACGACTCCCCGGAGAGTTGCAACCCACTTTCCTCTGTGCTCTCACTGAACAAAAGGGAAGGTCTTTGGATGACTAAACACTTGCATTTCTTATTGCTTTCTTGTCGGAGTGATTATAAGAAACAGCAATGTTGTCTTCTGACAGAAATCAAATATTTTTGTGGCCTGATATCCTAAGACAAAAATGTTGCACGCTGTTTTTTCTGGTTGTGCTTGAAGCTGTTGGCCCATGATCACACAGCTCTCATACCCAGAAGTATGAAAGTACTGAAACTAACAATTTCTGTAATTATTTAACAGAAGAAAATAACTCATGCTGTCATTGCCACTAAAGAAAAGGCATTTCTGTATTGAAAGCCATTTTGAAAAGGGCTGCCTTATGTTGACTTGCGGCTAGCTGACCGTCAAAAAAAACCCATGCACCTACTGACTAGTATACGTATATGCTTAGTTCTAGATGATACATAACATGGCCGAGATGAGGGCAGTGTGAAGAAGGGGAAAGGCGTGAGATGGCCGTAGAGAATAAGGGGGAGAAATATCTGCAAAACCAGTCTTGTCTACTTGAGCTGCTCGTGGCACTTGGCTTGGTTTCTGCTGTGATAATGTCCAGCAGCTCTTGCCATAACCTGAACGGCCTTGTTGTTAGCTGGTGCACACCAGTGCAAGTCAACGTTACAAAAATCTGCCAGCTCTCCTGAGTCATAATACAGTTAAGCTAAGTTCTGATAGTAGTCGAGGAATGTGTGTTTGTGGGTTTTGGGTCGTGGTGTTCTTTCGCTGTTTGTTCCTGTTTCAGAGGAGAGACATGTCATTTTTGTCAGTCCGCATGCTGTAACTAACAGTGTCGGTAATCCCCCGAGTTACTCGGTTGCTCTTTCCAACAGGGTGGTGGTACTGTACATGGGCCCTGGCAACACTGAGAATTTGAATGCACGTTGTTTCATTGCAAGCGTTTAATAGACAGAATCAAGGTTGAAGAGGGCTCTCTGCTAGCAGTTACCGAGAACTATCTACTGCTAGAAATGCTCACTTGGAGACAGTGTATGAGTGCTCTAAAGGGGGAAAAAAAGTCAAAGCAGAGCATAAGCTTAAAGACTTGCGTTATAATTTTCACTTGTTTTGTTCTTTTCCATGACTATGACTGGTGGACTGGCGGTAGCTTATGTCAACTGTTCAAGAGGCTTCAGTAGTGCTCGTTTTGAGATTGGGAATTTTTCCCCCTTTGGCTTAACTGGAGGGTTAAGAATTAAAAGATAGAATTCTTACCTTGATTGTACCATCTAAAGGTCACAATCAAGCAGTGGTGAAGAAGTCAATCTAGTTAGCAAAGCACGGATGAAGTCTCGGTTCTTGAAGAAGCTCAATTCTTGTCAAGAGTTTTCTCAAATCTGCCAACAGAGCTGACTTGAAGTGGTATCCTGTAGGAATGTGAACATGAGAGAAAACTGTGAGGTAGTGAGTCAGTAGACATTTCTTAAACTTATAGAGGCTTTTTATTTTGTCACAGGTATAATTGTACTTGGGCTAACATGCAGCGTACCAGGGGTCGTACTTGAAAAAGGAAATATTGACCTTGTTATCTTATATAGTGTTTGTTTCTTGTAGACTGAGAGTAATCATGACACAGCGTTGACACTTGCTTGTGCTGGTGGCCACGAAGAACTGGTACAAACACTGTTAGAGAGAGGAGCCAATATTGAACACAGGGACAAGAAAGGTAGGTATCTCCCGAGGCTATACAGACCCTCTCTGGCTTTTCAGTATATCACACTAAGTATGCAATAAGCGTGGTCTTTATGTGAAGCGTGTAAGCTTGCTTTTCTGGTGGTTTAACTTAAGCCAGTTAAACTTTAGGCTATGAAAGTGGATTCTTCAAACATCCTTTTTCATTTCAGGGTTCACTCCGCTTATTTTGGCTGCTACAGCTGGCCACGTGGGTGTTGTTGAAATCTTACTGGATAATGGAGCTGATATTGAAGCCCAGTCTGAGAGAACCAAGGACACACCCTTGTCTTTGGCTTGTTCAGGAGGGAGACAAGAGGTGAAGTAAAACTTTAGTCGTCAAAAGCAATGTGTACATTCCGTGTTGTGTCACTATACTAAAGCTGTCTGCCAGCAAAGTTACAGTAACTTAACTCACCCTTCTGTTTCAGGTTCGTGTGTTTTAAAAAGGGTGCAAAGAGCTTCACATTTTTGAAGCTATGTATTGCACTGTGTCTCACAGAGATTGATTTTTCTTTTTATAAGCTGGATGAGAGCTGTGCAGATGATATCATGACTGTAATCGTAGTGGCTCATTATGGGACTTTTACCAGCATAATTAGATGTGGATATGAAAGTGAGCACGATGAGCGTTCTTGTTGAGAAGCTGCAGTTAGACACGCGTCGGCTCCATACGTGAGCCGAGAGGGTGTAAGCCATGGGATACTGGAGTACTGCAGCTGACTCAGGTGTGTCTGGCTAAAAATGCAAAAAACAGTTTTGAAATGATTGATCAAAAGTAACCGTAGAGGAAGTTTGAATGTTACGCGAAATACCGTATTCTGTGTCTGACGACAAAATCTGCCTTCTGAGGGTTTTTTCTAATATTTGTTACCAATCCTAAGTGTTCAATGGATTGCTAAAGCCATAGTGGAAGCTGTATAAGCTGGTGCAGGATCGCTTCCCTCTGTGGCCACCTGCAAACGAATGAGGTTGGAGGTGCCTCTCCCACTTCCGCAGGTTGTCTTAACAGTGATACTGTGGCATTTGAAAAGCGATGACTTCTCCAGATAAAAATGTTGCTAAAAACTTGCGGCTCTACCGGCCGATTTTTAGTGCCATCGGGAAGATTTCAGACGTCGGAGGGTATTAGCTGCAATGACAGTGACATGCGCTCTGGTGAACGGAAAGGCCGGCTCTTCACTCAGTCTGTCACAGCTGCCATTGTGGCAAGCAACCTCATACAGCAAAGGTTGCATTTGTGCTTACCTTTTCAGAGGCAGAATTGATCTGTGTTTCTTGGAGGAACGCATCCTGTTTTCTCTCGTGTTTTTTGGGAAAGCCGATGAGAAAACACTGGGCTTTGGGCAATGGAGATGATGTCGGGATGCCCTCCCGCCCCAATTTTTGTGTTTGGCAGTATGTTTGTCCTGTGATTTCATGGGAAAATACTGTCATTGGAAGTTTCAGTTGCACAGATCTAATCTAAATGTGTTTTACCCTTAAAAGCTGAAAGGGGAGCAAACTAAACATTGCATTGGAGGTGACACAGTGGGTTTTCACCTTGGCGTTCATTTCGATTTTACGTTTCTAGACAGTTTAGATTCTTGTCAAGTCTTCTGCAGAAATCTCAATACAGAATGTAAGCTTCATGTAGAATATGGGAAGCTATGAAACGTTTGGGGTGTAAATGAATGCGTAAGGAAGGAGTAACGTGAGAAGTACTTGCGTTGCTTTTGTTAATGTACAGAGAAAACCAGCAAGGGATGCAAGTATTGATTGTTCTAACGACTCTTGCATGAGATTTCTGTGAACAATCTACACACCGTTCGTTTCATGTAGCGATGGCAGTAGAGAAGATAAGAAAGCAGTTGCATGCTTGTCTCTTGTTTGCTCTGCAGCTTCGGTTTGAGGATGAGTTTTTAAGTTGGTAAGTGAACCGACTATTAAAGTGGGAGAGGGCGAAATGCAAGAGCACTTTTTTGTGCATATTGAATCGCTGGTTTTGGCAGTCTTTAGACAGCTGAAATAATCACGAATGACCTCAGTTTTTTTCTCGCTATGTTATACAGTTTGGTGCATGCTAAAGAGCGACAATGATCGTTTTTTAAAGGAAGTCCTGCAATGGTTTTGCAAACATAGTTGCAGCCTCATCTGTTCATGGAGGCAAGGAGTATAGGGAAGCAACTGAGTAAAATCACTTCCTTACTGTGGGAAGATGTCAATGGTATATTTAGTCTTTGAAAACATTTGCCCTGGATAGATGTGCAAGTTCGGGAGAAAACCAGATGTTATTTCTTAAAACACTGCAGGTGGTGGAGTTGCTGCTAGCTCGAGGGGCAAACAAAGAGCACAGGAATGTTTCTGATTACACACCTTTAAGCCTCGCCGCTTCTGGTGGTTACGTGAACATTATCAAGATACTGCTAAATGCTGGGGCAGAAATAAATTCCAGGCAAGTTCCCTTTTCACCCCTTCTCTCATGGTATTTGAAGTGTTCTGAGTTTTTACCATTTCCAGAAGCATTTCTTGACAATTGGACAACCATGGGGAGCAAAATCTTACTATTCTTACCTGATCACAGCGAATGTAATGTTTAATTTGTAGTAGGCTCCTTTCCCCTTAGGTTAGAAACGAAACGTTTTGACGCTGTTTCTAATGCTGTTTTAAGTCCCATCTCTCTCTAAATATTTTGTTAATTTCTTTCCTATGCCATAGGATCAGTTGACTCTGTCAAAGATAGAAATCTCTCTTTTTGCTCTGGTTCGCCTCCTGGATTGAAATTAGGTCTGGGTTATGTGAAGAAAGTGTGTGTGTGTATCCCGCTGTTTTCCCTGTGTAGTTGAAGGAAAGCTTTTTTTGTGTGCCTATGCATGGGTGTGATGCTTTTGCATCCATTGGGAGGTAGAAGATGCTCAGTGGGGGACTGCACAAGCCAAATCGCAGGGCCAAGCAAAAGCTCCTTATAAGAGATACCTTTAAATTTAGAGCAATTAAAAGGTAACATGCATAGTATATCTAAGTAGAAATATTTGTCCTCAGCAATGCTACTATGCAGAACCTCTTGTAGTTTCAGTAATAGTTGCTCTGTGGCTGATTTTTCGGTCTTGGATAAGTACTCTGCCTTCACTACTGTTTTTTTTCAAGTAATTTCAGAAATGTGGTTATGGTTTCAAGAGTGGTGTTTTTTTTTTTTCCTTTTTCTCTTTCAGAACTGGTAGCAAATTGGGCATTTCTCCATTAATGTTGGCAGCTATGAATGGGCATACTGCTGCTGTCAAGCTATTACTGGACATGGGCTCTGACATAAATGCCCAGATAGAGACCAACAGGAATACGGCACTAACTTTGGCTTGTTTTCAAGGGAGAACTGAAGTGGTTAGTCTGCTGCTTGATCGAAAAGCTAATGTGGAACATAGAGCTAAGGTAAGGAGCAGATAGCTGAATAAGTCTCCAAAAAGAGGTGCTTGTTAGTCACCATTTCTCTGTGGTCATCTGACGGTTTGTTTGCCTTTTGTGCGAGTTAACTTCTCTAGTTCAGCTGATTGAACTGAACTGTATATTGTAAAGAGAAATAACGGCTGCACTCGAGGGCTAGTGTTTTGGGAGTCACACAGTTCATGAAAAAACAAGTGTTTCAGCCGAAGCCTTAAATAATATTGAGGTGCCTACAAGCATAAGAACAGTAATCCATTAACTTGATAAAAATAGAAGCATTTAATGTATCAGAAAAACAGCTAGTATCTTGGCCTAGGTATGCTCATGGTCTAATCTCTTCGGTCTGACCAGCTGCTTACATCCACAGTGATGATGGAGAATTGAAAGGGGATGTGTGTGCTTGAGAGTCTGTCGGGTTGACCCCTGCTCTTTAAACAGGAGGGTCTGTTCACTAGAAAAATGACTAGAATGTTGAGGGGGAGAAATGAGGGACGGGCCCCAAATGTAGCATTCTGTTCCCCTTTTCCACTGTACCTAATGGGTGCCACAGTAGTTCAAAGGGACCTGCACGGTGCTGATGGCTGCTAGGTATTCTTCCCGTTCAAGTTAGGTGTCCCCCTGACCTAGCCAGGCGCTTTCTGGATATTGCTCTGTAGGATCCCGTAATGAAGGCAGATCATGTGATTGGCATGGTCTGTGTAATAATACGGGCCCTTCATGGAACTTACTGCTGATGGCCCTCATGGGCTCAAGGTTGGTCAAGTTAGTTTTGAGAAATGGCCAGCAGCGGAGGGCCGCCGGGCACACTACTCCTCGGTGAAAGCTCTTCTCGAGCTGGCTGAAGATGAGCTCGCCTTCGAAACGTTGCTAAACTGTTAGCAAATTGGCCAGGTAACAACTGGAATCCGTACACCAGAACTAGAAACATGTTGGTGGAAGCTGAAGCATGTCCCGGCTTTCAGGTAAAAAGCACCCTCCACCCCCTACTAATTGCTTGGGTTTCCTGCTTGCTTTGTCGTAGACTGGTCTCACACCGTTAATGGAAGCAGCTTCCGGTGGATATGCGGAAGTGGGCAGAGTTCTGCTGGACAAAGGTGCAGATGTCAACGCTCCTCCAGTACCTTCCTCGAGAGATACAGCTTTAACCATCGCAGCAGACAAAGGGCACTACAAATTCTGTGAGCTTCTCATTAGCAGGTACTGCATTTGCAAGTGTGCTGCCTGAAGAAAAACACCTTGAATACAGCATTACTTAGACTAATCTTTCTCAATATACGATAGTATTTTCCATCACACTCCACAGGGTAGGAAATGGGAAAGGTTCTGTGCCTGTCGACCGTTGCTACGTATTTTTATTCATCGAGAGTGATGAAACAAAGTTCTTTTCCATGTTAGAGTGCTTGCTTTTGCCCAAATAGGCTAATTGAGTTTTTCCTGTCTCGCTGAATCATGAATGTTAGAAACAAACAAATTCTTGTAAAGTTTGCATGTGTGGTGCTCGTAATTGTGACACACAGCCATTTCAGAGGGCGGTGTTAAGTCCTTGGGCAACAGAAGATGCACACAAAACATAAGTCTTCGTGATTTCTTTTCGATTGATCACGATGCATGTTCAGTGTAATTATGTTTCCTGGGTAGCTTTTGGATATGTCGTTTTCCAAGTAGTAGCACTGGTTGTTGGCTTGCACTTGACATGTTCTAAGTTGTTCCGAGTAAGCTAATGAAGAATACAGTGTACTGGTGGATGGGAGTTAATAAATTAATTAGAGAAGCTGCAGAGACAGCTGACAAACAGCATGATTAAAAATATTTTTAAGCTGAGTTGAAGCTCGCTCTTGGCAGCATGAGAAGCAACAAAAAATAACCATCTTGGAAACTGAAGCACTCTGTGAATGCATATGTTTGATGTAAAATTGAGTGTGGAATTTGACCCTGTTGCTCTTGTGTTGCTTGTCAAGTTTCGCAGTTCAGCTGATATGTGAAATGAAAATCTGGTCCAGAGCTTTCATTGAACATGTTTGTTTTTGTAGAGGAGCTCACATTGACGTGCGTAACAAGAAGGGGAATACTCCGCTGTGGCTGGCAGCAAATGGAGGGCACCTAGATGTTGTCCAACTGCTAGTTCAAGCTGGAGCTGATGTGGATGCTGCTGATAACAGGAAAATAACTCCTCTTATGGCAGCCTTTCGAAAGGTAGAACGTGAAGTTCAGCTTTGGTCTTAACTAGTATTGTCTCGATCACTTGTTATGAGTAGAACATAACTGACAAACTACATACTTAAAAATATGTCAACTGATTTTAATATTGGGCATTGAATCTTCAAAAATGGGGGTGTGTGTCTCCTGTATAATATTTGTGTTAAGTTCTAGCAGCAATTTGTTTTATAGGCACTTGCTGAGGCAGGTTCTCATGGGTCTCTTGAGAGTTGAAAATTGCAGTCTACTTGTGCAGGGAGGGAAATACTTGATGGAACTCGGGGGAATTTGGTTTGGTTTCGTACGCAAGAGAGGATGAGCACTTTTGCCGAAAAAAGTGCAGTTTAGCCCGATTTGACTCTAGAGGTAATTGTGCTTAGCAAGGGAGTGTAGTTCAAGTGCCGCAGTACTTGAAAAATCGCAGATGACTGTAGGAGCCTAAAACTGCTAAGCTGCCGGAGCTAGGCATTTGAAAACCGCCAAAATAAAAGGCAGAAGTGTGTGAAAGTACGGCTGGAGGAAGGGCGGCTTGACAGCAGGTACTGTAATTGTTTGCCTTCTCCTCCATCATGAACGTGAAGAAACATCCCTCACTAGTTTAGGAGGTGAAAAAAGTTAAAAAAAGAAAAAGAATAAATGAAAAAAAAAATTAAGTGTTGAGAGCATGATTTGAAGAAGCTGAAAATAAAATAAATATTTTACAAAGAGTGCTTGGACTAAAGCAGCTGGCCTGATACAAGATGTCATCCTTGAAATTCCTTTTTCAGGGTCATGTAAAAGTGGTGCGCTACCTAGTGAAAGAAGTAAACCAATTTCCATCAGACTCGGAATGCATGAGATACATAGCAACAATTACTGATAAGGTAAGATTGTAAGGAAGAAAATATGTGAGAAGGAATTGTGCTGTGACTCAGCTTTAGACTCGATGTTACGAATGCTCTTTAGCCTCCTGGCCCACCAGATTGCAGCCCAATGATGAGTCCCACTGGAATTTTACAGAAAACCATTGCAAAAAAAAAATGTGAGCACGCAGCTACAGTGACTTTGCACGCCTTAATGCTGCGAGAACGCTAGTAAAGGTGGTGTTCTTTATTATCCGTGCTTATTTTCAAGTGTTATCACAGTCATTACCTCGGTCTGACCTGCGTTCCTCCCTGTCGATGAAGTGTGTGCTGAATTTATGCTGGCTTCTGCAGTGGGGCGGAGGTAACAGAATGAACTTTTGCTAAGAGTACGTCTGATCTTAAGAATGAAGATTCACCATCTTGTAAAAAAGTTTGTACTAGAAAGAAGGTGGAAAACATAATCGACAATAAAATGGTTTCTTGTGGCATCTGAAGCAGACTGCTGCTTTTCCCTGTGAAGGTTCAGTTTTATTTGGTTTATCTTCAGCCCAGATGAAGAGGGCAAAAACTATTTTGTAGTGAGAGACAGGAGAATAGCAACCGGTGCAGAAACAGGGTCGTAATGCTTGTATCTTTTCACTGATGCACTGCGCTGCGACCGAGTTGTCTTCTTTCTGGGCGTCAAGTTGCGCTGAGCATGTTGAGGCTGAAGAGGTGCTAATGTTTAAATCGGTATGTGTTTTATTGCCAGCGGCTGTGATGGCTGTCCGCTTCCAGGATGCTAGGCACCCTGTGCATTTGAACATTTTTACTGCTATGCAGCCACTGTAGGTTTGAGAGTGGTATTATAAAACTATAATGTTCACCTATTTCCCACTTGTCTTAAAAAAAAAAAAAAAAAAAAGCCTTGCTTTACGATATATTTTTATGTCTGCAGTGGCTTCACCTTCCAGACCTGTAGCCTTTTCCTTAATAAAATTTTTTGGTCTTGATAATGGCCATAGGTTACAAACTGTGTTTGTACTGTTTGCGGCGCACGGAGACATAGGTTATTGATTACATGTCACTCCTGTGACCGGAATATCAGTTTGCAAGGTTGGGGATGAAGACGAGCTTACCGGAGGGAATTTAAAGTTCTCCCTTAAACTCTTGTGCAAGTAACGCAATGGTTATTAAATTATAAGTGTAAGCTTGAGATTGTATGTTCCAACACATGTACTGTTACTTCTTGAAACAGAGGTTTCATGTACTTGATTGTTTTAGGAGATGCTGAAGAAGTGCCACCTGTGTATGGAATCAATTGTTCAAGCCAAAGATAGACAGGCTGCTGAAGCCAATAAAAACGCAAGCATTCTTTTAGAGGAACTGGACTTGGAGAAGGCAAGTTGAAAGACTTTGAGCCTGTGAATACTGATTTGCTAAAATTCCAATTTCACATTCCTTGAAGATTATGCGATCAGTGAAAGTATGTATTAAAAGTATAGGAGTATGTGTAATTCCCGTTACTGGTGTATCTAGGGCTGAGCATCTTGTTGTTGAGGTAATCTTTGAACTTTATTGGGCTATGTTTCAGGGAAATCGGATCAAGAAACTCGCATAGAACAGCTTACTGTGGAATAATATTGTACCAAACGAAGGATTTCTGAGTATAGTTTTCTGTCAAGTGCAGGATAGATGGGCATTTTCCAGTCACGTTGGTATGGACTTCAGGTCTAAACCCTGGTTTGTGTCTTAGATATGGAAAAAATACACTAATAATATATACTAGGAAGCATAGCAGAGTAGTAGGAACCTAATGGAAAAACCGAAGTACAAGTTTAGTATCAAACGAGCGCAGGCTTTATATTCCAGCTAGCATTTCATGTTACATATTGTAATCTCTGAGAGGGAGCTGAGTCTTGTTTGGCCTGTGTTGCCGAGACACACAAGGTTATACAAAGAAACATCAAAATGCCTCTTGGAAAACTCCAGCTTAAGTTTATATGGTGTCTGTCCTCTGTTTCTACACTAACCTTCTGTTAACATGAGTGAACAATCTGTTTGTGAGAATTAAATGTGCGAAAATACGGACCATAGAGAACGTAGCTTCTGTTCTATAAATATGTGAGTCTAAAAAGCGAGTTCAGGCTTCCCAGGCAATAGAAAGCACGTGCATTTCCTGAAATGCATGGGACATCTTGTAATACTGTTCGGTTTGCTTGACTTGTAGCTAAGGGAAGAAAGCAGGAGACTGGCTTTGGCTGCCAAAAGAGAGAAAAGAAAGGAGAAAAGGAGGAAGAAAAAAGAAGAACAAAGACGAAAACTAGAAGAAATAGAAGCGAAAAATAAAGAGAATTTTGAACTTCAGGCTGCTCAGGAGAAAGAGAAGCTGAAAGCTGAAGGTGATTTGAAGTATTTGCCTTATTTTTTGAAACACGGCCTTGATTTTTATTCCCGTTATTAATTAACAGATGCGTTTCTTGTCAGAACCTGAACGGCAGCTTTCTTATGACATGCTGAGCTTTCCTTTTGTTTAGCTTTTCTATTAAGCCCATAGATTAGCATGGTGGCATTTTCAGTGTGGTCTTGGGGCAGGGAACTGGTGTCACCAGCTTCAGAGTGAGGGGTTCGCTTTACCATGGAGATGGTGTCGGCTTGTGTTTTTTTTTTCCTTCCAGGTCCCAATACTTAAAATGAGGTCAAAATTATTTTTTTTTTAGCTCACAAACAGAATGATGATAACGATTAGCTGAAAAAACTGGCATTGATGGAAATTCCAAATCCATATCATTCTCTTCTTTCCCATCGAAACCTGGCTCTTTGGTATCTTAGGGCAGTGAGTTTCATGTGATCTACTGAGAAACGGTTTTCACTGATTGTTCCCTCACTCTGATAACGCTGAAAGGGAAGACATGTGACAATTTTTGAAATACTGTTTCATATGCTTGTTTGTGTCCACTAATTGTTTGCATCTGTCGTTCCATGCCTGAATTCAAGTTCGCATTTGTTACATCGCTACTGCATTTGTTCCAAGGAAAGAATGAAATTCTGTATAAGTTAGCATAAACAAGGGGGGAGGCTCCACGGTATGACATGTATACTAGTTCTACGAGTGTCCGCACGAGCTTCCTCAAGCCAGCTCAATCGGTATTTTTCTCTTACTCTTCCGTCAGATGATCCAGAGGTCCCAATGGAGCCTCCTAGCGCTACCACTACAACCACCATAGGCATCTCTGCCACTTGGACAACATTAGCAGGTTCCCATGGGAAGAGGAATAACACCATCACCACAACAAGCTCCAAAAGGAAAAACAGGAAAAATAAAGTAACCGCTGATAATGTTCAGATTATATTTGATGATCAACTCCCAATTTCCTATAGTCAACCAGAAAAAGTGAATGGTGAATCTAAGAGCAGCAGTACTAGTGAAAGTGGTGATAGTGACAACATGAGGATTTCCAGCTGTAGCGACGAAAGCAGCAATAGCAACAGCAGCCACAAAAGTGACAATCATTCTTCCACAGCCGTTACTAACACACAGAGCAGCAAAAAGCAACCATCGGTTCTTGTCACTTGTCCAAAGGATGAGCGGAAAGCAGTTACTAGCAAATCGTCAATAAAGTAAGTTGCTGTGACTGCCTATGCCACTCGAAGGTGATTGTTGCCCCACGTTTGAACGCTGCTGCGCCCTTGTTTTCATGGACGTGCTTTCTTAAATCGGTTGTTAGGAAGTGGATGAGGCAGCGTGTCCCTGCTGTAGCGTGTCTAAGGAGTATGAATGTTGTTGCGCTATGAGCTTGAACTTAGTAGTGGGTTCTGAAGCAAGAACCATCATCGTGGATCTGGAATTGGGCTATTTTGAGATGTAAGCATCTCAAGTCAGGCAACTTCTTAGTAACTTAGCGATTTTGTGCGAAAAGAGAGAAATGGGTTGGATTGGTTGGAGAATAGGCGAAATTCGAGTCATCCTTCATTGGTTTGTTTTTTTTTTTGACTGCATAATGACAGCATTTAATTTCTTTTAAAGGTTGTCTGAAGTTATTAGTGAGGTGACGAGTAACTCCTTGTCTACTTGCACAAAATCTGGTCCTTCTCCCCTTTCTTCTCCAAATGGAAAGCTAACGATTGCTAGTCCTAAACGTGGTCAGAAAAGGGAAGAAGGATGGAAGGAAGTTGTGAGAAGGTAAGCAAAAAGTTCCCCTAACTCCTCCTTGTTGACGTCCTTTTTCAGAAGGTTTTCTCTAGTGTAGCTGTCTCTCGGGTTACTGAATGACCCCACCTTCTTAGCGGACCTGATAAGATTTCACAAACCTACTGCTATGTAGGTTGAATCGCGCGTCGTAACATCGCTTTGACCAGCTGTTCCTTGGCTGCTTCATGCCATGGAATCCTTTCCCAGTTAATACTGTTTCTTTTTTGTATAGATCCAAGAAGGTTTCGGTTCCATCAACTGTGATTTCCAGAGTCATTGGCAGAGGAGGATGCAACATCAATGCGATCCGTGAGTGCACGGGGGCGCACATAGACATTGACAAACAGAAGGACAAGACTGGAGATCGAATAATAACGATAAGGTAAGCAGGCTGCTTGATTGGCTCATCCCTGTGGGGATGTTTTCATTGTAGAACGCTTCTCTGTATAGAAAAATGAGAAGGCTTGATCTCAGTTCTTTTAGGCAGGGGAGACGAATGGCGTAGGGCAACAGAACAACTGCGGGTTGGTGCCATCGTGTTTGTACAAAAGGATACTTGGGGTGGAGCGTCAACGTTAGGATTCTGTTTTTAGACTTCTGTACGCATGGCTAAATATGTAGGCCTTTTTACGGAAGTAAGCGTTTTAACCATTTGGGTTTTCAACTTGAGTCTCTTGAATAATTGTTATCAGCAAGAACATGCCCAGCTCGGTTTGCGGATAGAGCTATTTTTCTGTCTGAGTTAGCGTGACAGAAGACGGGCTGGATCGTGTGTTGGAGGTGCTTCACTACAATGTATGTAACTGTCGTAGATGCGCTTTCTCTTTTTCCTTCCTTCCTTCCTTGCTTCCTGTTTATAGGGGTGGCACAGAATCAACGAGACAGGCCACGCAGTTGATCAATGCTCTGATTAAGGATCCAGATAAGGAAATTGATGAACTTATTCCAAAGAACCGTTTGAAGAGTTCGGCTGCGAACTCCAAAGTAGGGTCATTGACACCTGCCACCACTACAGCTGCTAACAGTTCTCTCGGGGGCATCAAAGTGACCACCGTAGCTGCTTCGTCGACATCTCAGACAGCCTCCGCGCTCACCGTGCCTGCAATTTCTTCAGCATCCACTCACAAAACCATTAAGAATCCAGTGAATAATGTGCGGCCTGGTTTCCAAGTTTCTCTTCCATTAGCGTATCCTCCTCCGCAGTTTGCACATGCTTTACTCGCTGCTCAGACTTTCCAGCAAATCCGTCCACCCCGGTTGCCCATGACACACTTTGGAGGTACTTTCCCGCCGGCGCAGTCCACGTGGGGTCCGTTTCCTGTTAGGCCCTTGAGCCCTGCAAGAGCTACCAACTCGCCGAAACCTCACATGGTGCCTCGCCATAACAGTCAGAACAGCAGCGGTTCTCAGGTGAATTCAGCAAGTTCTTTGACAACTAGTCCGACAGCTACAACAAATTCAGTGGCTTCTACTGTGCCTGGTTCTTCTGCAAACGGCAGTCCAAGTTCACCTTCAGTCAGAAGACAGCTTTTTGTCACGGTCGTGAAGACATCAAACGCCACAACAACCACAGTGACGACCACGGCGAGTAACACGAGCACAGCGCCTACAAATGCCACGTATCCAGTTCCTACTGCCAAAGAACACTACCCCGCGTCTTCCCCGTCATCTCCTTCTCCTCCTGCGCAGCCAGCAGGCGTTTCCAGAAGCAGCCCTTCCAACTGCGCGGCAGCCTCTCCGAATAAAGGTGCGCCTTCGTCTGATCCAGAAGTGGGTAGTCCACCAGCAGTGGAAACGAGCAGCTCGACCAGCAGTAGGCAGCCCAGTTCTGGTCCTGGCAGCTCGTCTGCCCACCCTGCTCATCAGCAGCCTCCGGGAGCTCCTCTGCAAGAGGCAAGACCCCCTCTTCAGCAACCTCAGGTTCCTGCACCAGATCCTCGAATGGTTGTGCCTCCAAATTTAGCAGCGACAAGCTCATCTGCTCCTGTGGCAGGTCCAACAAATGCCCCGATGACCTATCCGATGTCTCAGGCGTCAGTGGGGTCTTCACAGCCCACAGCGAAGATGGAAACGCCGGCCATCAGACCGCCTGTCCATGGCACCGGTAGTGTCCACAAGAATCCACCTCCCGTGCAAAATTCCTCTGTCGCAGTCCTCAATGTTAATCACATCAAAAGGCCCCACAGTGTTCCTTCTTCAGTGCAGCTTCCTTCTACCTTAAGTACACAAAGTGCTTCTCAGAATTCAGCCCACCCAGCAAACAAGTCTATGGGTAACAATTTCAGTGCTACTTTACCATTTGGGCCCTTTAGTACGTTGTTTGAAAACAGTCCTACGTCTGCTCATGCCTTCTGGGGTGGTTCCGTCGTTTCATCTCAGACAACACCAGAGTCTATGCTATCAGGAAAGTCTTCATTTTTGCCAAATTCGGATCCTTTACATCAGTCTGATACTTCCAAAGCCCCGGGTTTTAGGCCACCGTTACAGAGGCCAGCTCCAAGTCCCTCAGGTAAGGCTGTGTTTTGCGTTCATACATTAATATTATATTTAACTAGTAACTGCTGCGTGGTCTTTTTTGAACACGTAATACTGTCTGCCTCAGCTTAGTGGTCATTTATAGTAAATCTCTGCGTGCCCTGCAACGAAAGGGTGCTGTGATATAGTTTATTGTTGTTTCTGCAAGCAAAGTTGAGTTCATCTTGCTTTCAAGTGCCGCCTATCAAGGCTAATAACTATTTTGCCGCTGACGCACTTGGTAAAAGTTGAGCTGAGGCACTCTTCTTGCCATTCCGGTTTAGTCTTCTGTGATAGCTCAGAAAATACAACGCTTTGCTATTGTTTCCACCTGCCTTCCCTGCCACTAGCTAATAACTTCTAATTTGTGATAACTTGCTTCTTGTCCTGAGGCTGCAGAAAAATATGCAGCGTCCTCAAACTGTTAGGATGATAAAAATAATTCTGTTCTGATTTGAACTTGTAATAAGAGGAGTGTCCTCTTGACTACTAAATTCAATCTCAAAACTTAATTGCAACGACTGCAATTTTAGTTTGGAGAAGAGGAGGCTGAGGGGAGACCTTATCGCTCTCTACAACTACCTGAAAGGGGGTTGTGGCGACGAGGGTGTTGGCCTCTTCTCCCAAGTAACTAGCGACAGGACAAGAGGAAATGGCCTCAAGTTGCGCCAGGGGAGGTTTAGATTGGATATTAGGAAAAATTTCTTCACTGAGAGGGTGGTCAGGTATTGGAACAGGCTGCCCACGGAGGTGGTGGAGTCGCCATCTCTGGAGGTGTTCAAGAAACGTGTGGATGTGGCGCTTCAGGACATGGTCTAGGGGACATGGTGGCGCTGGATTGATGGTTGGACTTGATGATCTTGAAGGTCCTTTCCAACCTAGTGTTTCTGTGATTCTGTGACTTTCTGAATTTTGTAGCGGATGTTCAGCCTTCTGCACAAACATGGGCCAAGGGGTTGTTGCAGAACTTTTTCTGTAGCTTCTGGGAAATTTACACACTGTTTGTACCACCTGTGCCTGTGTTAGTAGGACCTGAGAGTTGTTTAGGTAGCTTTGTTTATGAATTGAGAGATAAAAAAGCTAGTTTTTTCATATTTTGTGAATATCGTGGTGGTGAGTAGCTTCTGAGGCGCTCTGTGAGAATTTTGTCAACTTAATATACTTCTTAACATTTTGACTTAGGCACGCTCCGCGCTGCGTAGCACTTGCGTATGCCCCTCGGTTCCCGAGTAAAAGCAGTGCTCTGGCCACGGTCCTACCGTTGCCTCCGCAGTTTCTCTCCTGGAAGGCTGCAGGCACCATAGATTCGCTTGGGGGTGTCTGTAGAGTCGGGGAGCGTTCGGTTAGTTCATAGGAAGGTAGCCCCCGAGATCCTGAAGAATTTAACAGTACTAGAGGTTGGATCGTGATAATGCGTGGTGCGGAGGAGGCAGGGGCTGCGCTTTTCTGATTCTTCTTGTCACTGGTGAAGGGATTTATTCCCCCCCAGCACTATAACTGTAATTGTTTTGTCACGTGCTTTACGAGCGGGAGAAAGATGCAAGTGCCATTAGCCGTTGAGTGGCAACAAGCTCCCTTAATAGTTTTTCTGAGACTTAAAATCCCAAGCTTTTATTTTTCCCTTTCTTCATTGAGGAGAATATTAAGAGGGTACTAATTTGTGTATTTTGAATACTTCGGCTAATTGGTGCCGCTTGGTCTTAAGAAAATGCTGTTTTCTTAAGCAAGTTAAAAGATATCCCTGGGTTGGGGAAAAAAAACAACGAGCCAGTGTTGATCATGGTGTATAGAGACATCATTGTGTCAAATAAAAAAAAAAAAAAGAATGGAGAAAGTATTCAAACCGTTAGTATTAGTCCCACTGTTCTTGGTACAAAATCATACTTTGTAAACGTAGCAAATGTAAATTACAGGTTAGTGAAAAGCTCAGCTCCTTTTCCGATGTCTAGTTACATCGCAATGTGTATTATAGTCTCTAAAATCATTTGCGTTTGAGGTACCTCGAATGCATTTTATGTGATAAAATAAGAGTCATTCTTGATTTAAATATACAGCACAACTGCTACATACCGTCAAGACTTGCAGAGTATGAAGCTGAAGACTCCCAGCTCTCTTGGGAAAGTAGAACCACACGCATACCCCCACCAATTGATTCGATAAAAGTTCTCCTTCTTTCTTTATCATTTCCATGGTAATGGCAACCTCTTCACGGAGATCTCACGGAGTACCGGGAGTGACTGTGCCAATTTCTCTTATAGGTATTGTCAGTATGGATTCACCCTATGCTTCTGTAACACCTTCTTCTACACACCTGGGTAATTTTGCCTCAAACCTTTCGGGAGGTCAGATATACGCGCCTGGGACACCTCTTGGCGGAGCACCGGCAGCTGCTAATTTTAACAGACAGCATTTTTCCCCACTCAGTTTATTGCCTCCATGTTCATCAGCATCAAATGGTGAGTTCTAGTCAGTGGGAAAACAGTTGAGGAGCTGTTGTACAAACAAAGTGTCCTTGTGCACTGCCCGTTTTATGTAGGCTTTTGTAGTTCTGTTCATTTTCAACTTCATGGTTTGAGTTATGTTTTAAACCTCTATGCAGTCACAGATTTTGAGATAAAATTGTCTTGTGCAAGTTCTGATCTCTAGCGTGGCTTTTTAGCAGCCACGGTCATGGTGTTGGCCAGTTCCTTATTGTTGCTGCAATTAACTTTGGCCTGTTAAGGTATATGACATTCTTTTAGTTGCCTTGGAAAGCAAGGATGGGCTTTTCGGGTTTGTAAAGGTAACATTCCAAGTGTGAGTTGCATGAACCTTGTAACGGTGTTACACTAAAGCTAGCTGAACAGTGGTGATTGCTTGGTTTTTCTGATGCTCTTAAAATAGAACTGTGTACTGTATTCGGGGAGAAAACACGTAGGGCGAGTTCTGCTACCTTCGTCCACGTTTGGCACTGGCAGTTTTGGCCATGCAACGGAGTTTTTCGGACAGAAAACAAACTGTTGGGTGCTGGCTTATTCAGGGAACAAGTTAGTCTGTTTAACTGGCAAAAATAATGACAAACAAAACCCACCGAAAACCCCCACAGAGAACAAATCAGGATTACAAAAAAAAAAACAAAACCCCCACAACACAAAACAGAACACCAAACCAAAATCCAATAAGAAACAAACCCAATCCAACCCAACAACAACATGGGTTTATTTCAGCTATGCTTGTGGGTATAATCCTCAAATCCTCTGTTGCTGATGCACAGTAATGCTTAGTTGAGATTTTGAACTGTCTGTTGTCATGGGTTGTGGTCTGTGTCCAGTAGCTGAGCTGACGGCATGATAATAGTTTTATGTAAGAGACTAAATAGATGGCTAATGTTTTCCTGATCGGAAAGTCAAACCGCTAAAATTATCCTGAAGTGTTTGCTGCATGAATCTGGCATTAACAACCTACCCATTTTCACTTGTTCGATGTATGACATGACATTAAAGGATAGGTTTGTGGTGATTTGAGAGGATGAGGCTGTCATTACCAAGTGCTCTCATTGTTCTTCTTGCAGAATCTCCTGCTCAGTCGGTGTCTTCTGGAGTAAGAGCGCCATCTCCCACCCCTTCAGCAGTGTCCTTGGGATCAGAAAAACCCAGTAATGTTTCTCAGGACAGAAAAGTTCCTGTTCCGATTGGGACTGAACGGTCTGCACGTATTAGACAAACTGGAACTTCTACTCCGTCTGTTATCGGGAGCAACTTAGCTGCTCCGGTGGGACATAGTGGGATCTGGTCCTTCGAAGGTATAGGTGGCAGTCAAGGTACGTAGTGTTAACAGATGTACTCGCCCTTGCAATTGACCACAAAATGGTGTTTCCCTGACTTGCCTTTGGAGCTGAAGGACGCAGCAGAAGTGAGTGCCTCAAAATGTAGGAGAGCTTTTTCCATAGGGGTTGGAACAGTGACTTCTGTTTGCCCTCCTCTCTGCTTAATTGTGTTGTAACGAGCTCTCCTGAAACACCCTGGCTGTGAAGATTTGTTACTCCAAGCACGCAATAACAGGGAGAAGAAAACCACAGGGTTTACAGGCATGAACTGATCGATACATTTAGGAAGAGAGTAAATGAGGATGTCTCCAGATAACCGCATATTTTCTTTCTGTTGATTAACAGATTATTTTGTACAATAGGAGTTAAATATTACCTTTGATTTGTAGTCAAGGTTGAGCTTTTTGTGCTGATTGTTTGTGCAATTTATGTTTTAACAAAGTGGTAATATTCCACATTTGAGTTTCCTTTGTTCTTTCTGCTCATGCCATTTTCATTTTCCTAACGCAAGGCTCTTGGCTCTCCTGTGGTCACAAAGAATTCAGTGTTGCAGAATTCATTAAAAACTAAAGTTACTGATGGGACAGCTTTTCTCAACAAACACTTCAGGAATCTTGGGTGCAATTTATAAGAGACTGCTGAATTTTTTTTTTTATTTATTCTTTTTTATTTATTTGGTTTGGTTAGTTAGTTTGTTTGGGGTTTGGTTTTTTGCTTGGGATGCAGGGGAGGGAATAATGAGACCATGTTGGATGGGACCTCTGGAGGTTGTGTCAGCCTCCTGCACAAAATGGGATTTGCTGTGAGGTCGGACCGGGTTGCTGAGGGCTTTATCCGATCTGATCTTGCAAACCTCCAAGGATGGAAACTGCTGAAACTCTCTGAACGACCTGTTCCGCTGCTTGACTGAGGAGTCCAAACAGCTTAAGGTTTTAATAGACTGACTGTGCACGTGCTTTGCATGCGATGAGTATACTGTCCTGGGTTGTTTTCCTTCCAATACAGAATAGATGCGATGTATTTTTTTTTACCTCACTAGTGATCTTTTCCCTATCTGCGTAGTGAGAGGCTATTCATCCTTAAGGCTTTAGAAACTGAATATTTTCATTTGCATTGTGTAGGTGTAAAAGTTGCCCTTTATGTCTGTCTGCTTTTGGAATGCTGCTTGCTTTCTGCCTCGTTCAATTATTTCAACATACTGATTTTGAGTGCAGAATGGGATTGGCTCTTTCCTTGCTGAGTATTAGGGTGGCTTCGGAAGTTGTTTCCGTGTTCCATCTCTGCCCCTCCAAACATAATTTCCTTCTGTTTTATTTTGAAAAATGGGCTTGCTTGATGTCTGAGATTTGAACTGTAGGAACAATACCAAGCTGTCTCTAATGAATTCATGTAATTAGAACATGAGCACACATCTCCAGCTGGTGGTTTTCTGGTTTTGCTTCTCAGAAGTACTTGTCTGTGTCTTAGTTCATTAAATAATTTACAAAAGAATGGTAACTAAGCGGAGCGAATGGTCTTCGTAGCGTACATACCCCTTTCACAGCACCAAACGCACAAGCAATTTAGTTTTTTGGAGGAGGAACAGGTAGCACAAATGCCAGCTTTCCCTTTCAAATGGAGGAAAATTGCAGAGGTGACACTTCGGTTGCATGTAACTGTTCAGAAATCCTTGCACAGACTGGCGGTTCCTGCCGTGGAGTGTGCAGGTACCATTTCTGATAATCTCCGTCCCACATGCACCTAAGTTTTAATGCAGGTAGATGCTCAGGAACTGCAAGCTGAGCAAAAGTCGCATTTAGAAATGTGGCAGCGTGCAAACGCTTAGGCTGGAAAATGGATGATGAGCGGGCGTCACGTATAATGGTGTTGCTTTGTCTTCTGTGTCGTTAGATAAAGTGGACTGGTGTCACAGCGGAATGGGGAGCCACATGATCCACAGGCCCATGTCTGACCCAGGGGTGTTCTCGCACCAAGCCATGGAGAGAGACAGCACGGGAATTGTAACGCCTTCCGGTACATTCCATCAGCCCGTTCCTGCAGGATACATGGACTTCCCAAAAGTCGGGGTAACAGCCTTCTTGGACTTGATGTGTGTGGTACCGCTCGGTTTCCGCGTCGCCGCGTGAGGCGGGAGAACAACGCGGAGATGTCATTCGCTGTGCGGCTGAGCGTGCGTAAGCTGCAACGCTAACTAGCCCTCACAGTATTTGCAGAAGCCTAGACCTAACAATAAGTAACTTGTCCATGATGTAATGAATAGATGTATAAAAGCTTTTTCTGAAATTCAGGCATTTCTTTACTGCTTTAAGATGGAGAATTTCTTGAACACAAGTCCTCTTCCGTCATTCTTTATGTGCGATAGTAGCCGTGTTTATCAATGCATACTGATCCTTGCTTTCTCCTCCCCCTCAGGGTATGCCTTTTTCTGTGTATGGGAATGCAATGATTCCTCCTGTAGCCCCCATCACAGATGGTACTGGAGGCCCTATATTTAATGGGCCTCATGCTGCTGACCCATCTTGGAACTCGCTGATAAAAATGGTTTCAAACTCCACAGAAAACAACGGGCCTCAGACGGTAATTTTTCAATTTCTATATTCGCGGTTTTGCTTTAACTTAAGAAGCAGTATGGTGAAGGTGAGATCCAAGCTGTTAGAAAGTATGAAAATGCAGTGTAGTGTTTTTTCTTGTTGCTCATGTCTCTACGGAGCTGATACAGCCTCCCTACTCGATAAAGCACTGAGCGCTGCACATGCTTACTGGCAACTTGCAAAGAGTCATGTCTCCAAAAAGAGGTCTAAGTTGTCCGGAGGAAAAATTGGCACCACTCAGTTAATGCCGTTCAAAGGAGCGTGCTGTAGTTAGTGCTGTCAACATATTTGTGCTTGAGAATTGGGAAGCTTTCTGCCCGCTGAGCTCAGAGAAGCTGCCTATTCAATCCAGGTGGACAGCTGGTTAATTTACTGCAGATGAGCTTTTTTGATTATGTGTCATTGTCAAGTCTGGATACAAAAGATAGGTCTACACTGTATATTTCACTTAAAATGATGATGAATGCTGTCTGTTCAGTTCTGCATTGGGGAAAAAAACAATGGGTTTGCTTTTGGGAGAAAAGCCATTTACGTGCTGTTACGTAAGCTTTCCCTTCCCAAAAAGGGAAAACAGCATTAGGTCGAGAGGATGGTTGCTAGGCTCTGAAAGGTACGATGTCTTTGCTGTGTTAGGAGTCCTCATAGGAAAGGAGTAAGTAGCTCTTCTGTTCTCTGCTCCTTGTCTTGCTGCAGCGACAGGCTTATCTGCTAAATATAATTTAGGTGTAGGGACTATGTTCCCCTAAACCTCTTGTTCATACTCAGCCAGCGACTAATATAATGTAATGGATCATCAGTAGCTCTTGTTAGGTTATCTCCTCTGTTTATTTTGAATTGTACAGCGAGCTCTGTTATAATGTTATTAAATAAAGATATTTCTGGATTTAATTTGCTTGCGAGTCATCCAAGCTGCACGCAGAGCTCCCAGCTCTGGCAGACCGTAGGTGTGCAGAAGAAAGAGGCGGTCTGTTGTTTGGCCGCACTTCACGTATTGCTCTGAAGCGGCTCGCGAGCCTTATGAGGCGACTTCTGGTTTAGGGAGACAGCTTTGTCCCCCAAAGAAGCTTTACTTGATTATCCTTGGGTTTCTCCAGAGCTGAGGGTGTTGATGTGCATTGGGGGAAAGTAATTTGAGGTGCCAGAAGCCAAGTTCTTG